GGGAAAACAATGGGGATTAAATAGATAGAAAATATTAATAGAATGTGTATATGTTTTATAAGAGAAAGGTTAAGTGGGTATCAGGAATGTGACAAATAACAGACCAAACATTGCCTAGAACATATATTGAACTCAGAAATACAGTATTAGAAAAATACACAAACAGAAACCCAGAAAGAGAGTAGACATATAAAACACAGAAAACATAAGAGATATGCAGAATATAGAGAATATAGTTTAAGAAAATGTGGGGGTAGTTCTAGAGGAGAATGCAGAGAGTTAGAATAGAAAAAAAAAACTGGAAAAAATAATGGTGAATGACTTCCTGTGACAGTGAAAAGATACTGCCAGTGAATTCAAGTAGGAAAAATACAAAGAAAAACATACCTATGTGTATTATAATTAAATTGCTGAAAATCAAAGACCAAGTGATGATATTAAAAGAAGCTGGAGGGGAAAAAGATGTATAACATTTAATGAAAAAGATATATAACTGACAGCTAAGATATTGATGGAAAATGGAAGTCAGGAAAAAATAAAAATATATCTGAACTAAATTCAATTAGCTCAGAAGCTTAGGAAAAACAATTCATTGGCTGTCTTCCCTCTTACTACCAACCAGTCACCCCCATCCGTCTGATCTTCACATGGATTAGGGCAAGGAAAGTTCAGAAAATATATGGGAAAACACAAACATAAATTATCTGTATTGTGGGAAATGAAGTAATAATGTTGGCAGGGGAAATAGTTACCTGGTGTTTTAGTCAAACAGATCATTGGTCAATAAATTTCTATTGTTTTTAAGCCACCTAGAAAACTACTACATTGCCTTTATTCTCAATTCCTTCCCTTGTTTTTGTTATTCTTCATTGTACAACATGTATTTTAAGAATACTCCTTGAATTCCACTTTTATTAAATGAGGGAAAATACCTACATCTCTGTACTCACTGTGTATCCTACAGTGTAACAACGTAAGATGTAGTTGATGTCATTCAGTAGCTTACTGCCTTATATATGTTTTAAGACCCAATGCTTATAAGTTAGTGAAAAACAAGACAATAAACACCTACATTATAAATTTCTCAGAGCAAATAATATATCTGAAAATTACTGTAAAAAGTAAACAAGAAAAGTGTCCATAAATATAATTTAAGTTGAAGCTGAAAGAATAGATGGGAAAAATTTCAGCTTATAAAGGAGAGAAGATGGGTTTCAGTAAGAAAGCAAATTGAAAAATGGTACTGTAGGCAAGTACATGGTACACAGAATGACGATACCAACTCTAGAGAAACGTTCATACTTGGGAATAGTGGAAAATACCCTTGTCTAAGTGGAAGATAAAAATAATGCAGAGGATCAAAAAAAAAACTGAAAAGAAAGAATAAAATTTAAATCTGCTTAGAAAGACAACTGGGAGATGTCTTAGATTTTTTTTAACACTAATAGAATGAAAGGATCTAAGGGATATTAATTCAGAGATCGTGTGCAAGATAAACTAGAGTGAAAGAAAGAAAATAATAGTCACAGAAAAGACTCAAGAGGAGAGTCTGATAGTTATTTTAAAAAACTGGTTAGAGAAGCCAGACTTTTTATGTAGGGGCCTAAATAAAGCCACTGACCTGGGAGGATCAGCTAAATTTTCTGTGTTTCCCTTAAAATCCTGATTTCTCTATGGCAGTTTAATTCTCTTTCATCTTGGTTAGATTTAAGCCACTGGCATCTATTACAGGAATCTTTTCACTGATAATAAAAAATTTCTGCCTAACATTGGAAGACTTTGAATAAACTGTGACTTTTAAAAGCACTTAACATCCATGGCATATATTTATAATTCTTACTACTAAGATTCAGTATTGGGAAAATGCTAAGTTTGAAATTTTCAGCTATGTTACCTTTAATTTCCAAGCTGTATTAATTTTGCTGACTGTAGTAGCTTTCTTTTCACCTCATTATTGTCTCTTCTTGAGACTACTCAAGCTAGCATGTATTTCCGAGACAGGCGAAATCTATGTTCTTATACTTTTTCCTTTCAACTTTACCTTACTCAACCAATATTTCTCTTTTAGAAAATGTGCCCTCTTTATATTCAGATTTCAAGGGTACTTCTTATGGCATAATTGATTTTGAGAATTCCTTGGCCTGATACTTCTATTTAGATTGAAATTTATGGAAGTAATTTGAGATGCCACTGAAATTGCAATATCATCAATATTATATGGCAATTCTTTTCTTTGAGCAACAACAATGAAAATCTATTATTTTAATAAAGGAAAAGCTGGGTTTTTTGTAGATATTTTCATTTTTAAAGAAAAATTATAGGATATGTGTTTTTTCCAAAAAATATAAGTTTGTAATAAACAATCCCTTGAGCTATTGATGCAAATCTAACCCAGGGAAAAAACAGGAACCAGGCAAGTTTGAACTGAAAGACACTGAATATCCCGTGTATTCATTAAGAGTCACTCAAATTTGCAGAATCATAAAAATTTATCAGTATTGAGAAAAATGAGATGATTGAAGGTTGTTTAGAACTTTTTTTTTTTTTACAAATGAAACATTTTGGAGGTGATTTGTTTTAAGATGTAAAGTTTTGATAATTCCTTGAATCAGAGATAACTGGACATTCATTCTTTATAAAATCCCCATCTGCTGCTGCAAAACCAGTCTATGTAAATAGTTACATGGTAACCTGTATTGCATTTTAATAGTAAATTCCTATTTTAGTTATTTTGTAGTAGGATGTACTGTCCTTGCCAAAAATATTATAAATTATTCTAATACAATTTTTTTTCAAATAAAACTTGGGACTAATTTTTAGCTGTATCCATTTTATAAAAATAAATTGTAATTAATGTAACAATGTAAATTAATATAAATTGTATATTTAATTTTTTGACTTTTTGCCTCTATAATAAAATGCAAAATTTATTTTAATTTTGCCAAGTTTCTCATGATTACTTTTTCACCAAAACTGCATGTAAAAAACACTTCTGTATTAAATATGTATTTTCTTTGCACTTGGTAATATTATCTATCTTATATCATAAACTATAGTGATGTTAAAATTTGAAAATATGCTTATTTATGAGACTATAACTCTTGAAGGCAGAGGATAAAAAATATTTAACAGGAAATGGGTTCTAAAACAATTTTAACTTAGTAATCTGTACTTGGTAGGTGCTTAATAAACATTTAAGTAAATGCATGAATTATTTATCTTGCTTATTAATCATTTGTTATCCCTGAGTTTGTTTCAGTAGAGGAACATTGGCCTCTAGGCAATTAATTTCAATTTAAATCAGTACATAGTTATCTCTGGACTTTACAAAATTAAATCAACTAAAAATTATCCCTTGTTAAAATAAATGCATTTGTTTCACAGGTTTATAAAAGAAAATGATTTCCTAGATGATCCATTCATTGCTGAGAACATTCTGAAATTCTTGTTAAGAGCTGTGATTGAGTTATAATCACCCAATTTAGATTTTCATTATTATTCTGGATGTTTTTTCTATTAAAAAATGACAGTTACAATAGGATTATGATTCCAAATTACTATGGAAAATATTTTTTGAGCTTGGTAGATATGGCTTATGATCACTTGATGATATTTTGTATGAGTATATCTTGTTTTGATTCACGATGTATGAACGTTAAGGGAATACATCAAGAGAAAAAAGCTTTTATGTGGTTTCTTGTTATAATGAAAACTGAATTGTATCCATTTGACACATTTATACTTTAGTATTTATAGAAAAAAAACTAACTTAAACCAGTGGTAGCATCATAATATTAGGAGGAGCTTTTTGAAAATATACTTAATTGCACTATATAAGAAACTCTATAGAGAAGGAATGGTGTTCTTCTGTGTGTCATTCAAAATTTTCCCCAGGTGATTGCTACATACAACCTCATTTTCTTAGTTCATTTTGTGCTGGTATAAAAGGATATCTGAGACTGCATAACTTGTAAAGAACAGAAATTCATTTGTACAGTTCTGGAGGCTTGGCAGTGTAAAGTGGAGGGCCCCACATCTGATGAAGACCTTCTTACCACGTTATCCTTTGGCAAAAGGCAGAAAGGCAAGAAAGCACACAGGAGAAAGAAGGAAGGGGGCTGAACTTATCCTTTTATCAAGAACCCTCTCTCTGGATAAGGAAGCCACTCCTGAGATAAAAGCATTATTCCATTCATGAGGGCAGAACCCTCCTGACCAAATTAACCTCTGAAAGGTACCACTTCTCAACAATGCTGCATTGGGAATGAATTTTACCACACATGAACTCATAGGACACATACTAACATTAGCACCCATTATAACCACTGGATTGTAGGCACACATGCTCACACTAGGGACACACATTTATTTTTCTGGCCAAACTCCATACTTATACTAGTTCCTATGTTTGTTTCTTGATAGTCTGGAAATTAGGTCAGTAAACCTAATTATTAGGTCAATAAATCTAATTATTAATATATCTTGGTGATGGTGATACTGTACTATTTTCTCAGGCTAAGTGTGGCTTTATTTATGACAAGTAAGAAAGAACCAAGTATTAATCTTAGAAATATTAGTTAATATAAGAAGCCAGGAGTTTAGATATATTCATGTGTATACACATATACGTGTGTGTGCGACCCCCTTGTAGACCCCTGTCCGGTACCCGATCCCAAGTAACAGCTCGAGCGAGAGTTGGAAGCCGAGTTCAGGTTTATTGGGACCAGCGGGCAGGCCAGGAAAGGAAGGAGATAGGGGCTGGCTGCGACTGTGCAGCTGGGGTAGGAGAGTTTTATAGAGGGGGTGGACGGGGCGTGGACACAAGGCTGGCGGAGTGTCTTGGGAGCTTAGGATAGGCTGTCCGTCTCTGGGCAGACTGCTGAGGTAGCTCAGAGGGTTATGTGTCGGGTCAGGATAGGCCGAGGCTTGGCGGGCTTTTCTGCTGCGATGATTGGCTGTTTGTTGTTGCTGGGCAGAACAGAGCAGAGCCTGAGGGTTTTCTTCCGGGCAGCGGGAAGCCTGGGGGGAGAGGGGTGAACGGGACTTTCTACCGAACAGTGTGTATACATGTGTATGTATAAATGTATATAATCCCTTTGTATCCCTATATTTTACTCTCCACTTCTCATAAGAAATTTCACAATTGCCTTTCCTCTATTTCTAACCTCCTGAATTGATTCTTCATTTCAAGGAAGTTTATGCTTTCCAGTGGATGTTGAAAATCCTTCTCTTTAGAACTAGAATTGAGAAAATTAAATAATACTTACCAAGGGTGCCAAATCATAACCCCTTTTCAAGTAGGTACTTAAGTTAAAAATAATTATGCTTAATGCACATTGAGCAAGGCTTTGCAGAATAATGCACTAGACTATGGTATTTGGAATCAAGGCTGCCATCCTAGACACAGAAAAGTTTGGCATTCATTTGGGAATTTAATGTGAAATTTCTGCTCCACAGTAGCACATGTTACTAGCTAGTGACTAACCAATTCAACCACATCTTTCCTAATCCAGCTAAAATCTGAGACATACATGTGGGAAAGAGGCAGGAGAATGGTGCAGTTGGCAAGAGATTTGAACAGGCAGGAACCAGAAATAATGTAGGGATAGATTCCGGTATTTGCATTTCCAGTGTGAAAAATGCATGAGCCTCTCCTACAGCACTCTATACTAGCTCCAAATTTAGAACATTTTTACCTTTTCCACCATGATATTCCATGTGTGCACTCTGATATCCCAGAGGAATATAAAAATAATTATTGGAAATGTACTATACTATGAAACATAATAGTACCTAAAATAAGTTATATAAATCTACATAGGGAAATGATTTTCACCTGAAGCAATGTTAAAAAACTTTAAAAATCATCAAAAACCTAACACATGTACATAGGTTAACACCCATGAGAGATTATGCCTCCTGACCTAGATGGCCTTAATGTTCACCTAAGCTTGACTAAACTTTTTTTTTTGAGACGGAGTTTCGCTGTTGTTACCCAGACTGGAATGGAGTTTCACTGTTGTTACCCAGACTGGAATCCAATGGCACGATCTTGGCTTACTGCAACCTCCGCCTCCTGGGTTCAGGCAATTCTCCTGCCTCAGCCTCCCGAGTAGCTGGGACTACAGGCACGCACCACCATGCCCAGCTAATTTTTGTATTTTTAGTAGAGACGGGGTTTCACCATGTTGACCAGGATGGTCTCAATCTCTTGACCTCGTGATCCACCCACCTCGGCCTCCCAAAGTGCTGGGATTATAGGTGTGAGCCACCGCGGGGGGCCAAGCTTGACTAAACTTTAGCCAGGCTTCTTTTTGACTTTAGGCTCTTGACCTCTCTTTTCCTCGAGCATTTACTTTAGAAAACTTGTAATTGTGAATTCTTTCTCTGCTTCTTCGAGATGTAAGCTCTTGCCAGGTTTACAACCCAGGAATGTTTCTCAAGAATCTGGAAGACACTCCTCTGAAATGCAATCATCAAGACAGATAATGCCACAGACAGTTTCTGTGGGATGGTAGGAGCCTGCATTCTACAGAGCCCTGCTCCAAATTGCAAAACTATCTCCTGTCATTAATATAGGAGAAAGTTAATCGGCCTTTAGTTTAAGGCCAGTTAACCAACACAGGTGGCCCATAGTTCCTCCCATCTTAGCTCTTAAAATCTTTACAGCTCTTTTATGTAATTCGGTGTAATTTAGACTGAGTTCTAGACTCTCCATTTTTGCAAGAGTCTTGAATAAAGTCTTTGTTACCTTTTAAACTTGATTCTGTATGATTTTTCTTTTGATACTCCCATTCTTCCTCCACTTCACTCTCATAGACTTAAAATAAAATAGTGCTGTTTGTGATAGAAGTAATAAAGTGAAAGATGCCAAGACTACAAAAACTTAATGTGTTATTAGCAGAGAATAGAGAGTGATGGATTATATGTCTAAGAAATTTCAAATCAGAAAGAAAGTTGATGAATTAACACAAGAGCAGATTTCCAGAGGAGGGAGAAAGGAGTCTCTCTGCTTCTGAGGTGGCAAGTTATTTCTTTTACAGAGCTGCTCAAAGTAACAGCTTTACTTTCTTCTTGAGCTCAGTGAGATAATTTTCTGTAACTTCTTGTACTGGATTTCAAAGATCATTTGCCTCTACTGTCTTTACTTTTCCCTAAGATTGAATCATCATGAAGCCCTCAGAATTCTCTGGCTCCAAAAGTTAATAAAAGTTCTTAAGTTTGGATAAAATGTTCAGTCAATATTTGGTAGGAATGTAGATTTTGAACAAGGCAATAATTACAGGACACAAGGATATTACAGTGAAATTTAGAGGGTACATCCACAGCTTTATTTCTTTTGCCCCCTCCGTTTAAATCCCCATTTCTTTTTATTACTGGGCAAACATACTTTCTCAGATTTCCTGCTTATTTATCTTACTCTGTTTCCTCTGTAATGTGGAGGGCTTTTTGTATTAGAGTTTTTTATAACTTTACATCTTAAGTAAACAAATATCCTTAGACTCTAAAGAAACTCCTTAGAAATTAAAAAGTTATTCATATTGTTCCAAAGAAGAAACAAAAAGGGTAAATAATATTTAAAGTCAAGTCCCTATAATAATAAACTTACTATTTGCTCTTGATGTTCTCAAGTGAGTTTTTCTAATTTTCTTTTTAACAAATAAACAAAAAAAGTTAGAAACAAGCAAAAGATTCCTAAAACCAATCAGACACACACATGTGCACAAACAAACACACAAAATCATGTCCAATATTGGTGAAATGAAAATTGTTTTGAGGTACAGACTCAAATAGTGATTATGATTACATTGAATCAGAAATCAAAAGAACTAAAATTCATAGTCCATGTTAGCTAATTAATAAACATTTATTTTGCCTAAGAAATTTAATTTCTAAGAGCCTCAGTATTGTGTCTATAAATGAAAATGATAATTCCTGATCTAACAGTATCAGAATGTTTTAAAAATAAAATACATTAACAAAAATAAAAATACTCTATGAAATTGAAATCTCCATAAATTTGACTGTGGCAATATGAAGGTGAATTGTCAAGTAGTGTTGGATCTTATAAATCTTAAATCTGGTATTAAGTGCAATCTCGTTGATATTTTAAAATCTAGTAGTTTACAGTAATAAAGTTAAGAAAATATGTTTTAGAGAATTTCAAAAACTTCTGGGCATCATTCATAATTTGCTTATGTAAGGCAAGTTTGTGTATATTTATTTAACCAAGACTTCTCATTCACACGGCTAAATGCTTTACTGTTTTACTATATCTCAAAGTCTTCCTGTTGCAACTGATAAACTTATAGCTTGTAGGTATATGCTTAGCACAGTGTTTAACTTTGTTGATTATAATGAAGTAAAATTTGACAACAGTGATGGTTTTATGAAGACATATTTTCTCTCTAAATTAACTTAGAACTACATTATAATCACAATAAATGTTAACAGACTTTTTGTGTACAAACTAGACAAAATGTATTTAAAGTATATATGGAAAAATAAGAATATGAAAAAATTGTAAAAAAATTTTATAGAAGAGTATTTAGTAGGAATTTACATGTCAACATATCAGATATGTATTTAAAATTTGATTAAAGCCTTGTACTTGTATCACCTTGTACTTTCACAGCAAAATTATGAAATAGAATAGAGAGACATGAAATAACCTGTAACATCAAGTCATTTCAAATTGTGAGGGAAGTAGAAAGTGGTTATTTTAATACATGAGTTTCAGCCTTCTGGTTCATGATAAATGTATGAACAAAAAAAAATATCGATAGATGCCTACTTCACTTCTTATACAATATTAAATTCTAGGTCAATAATAATTAAAAGTTAAAAATGAAACTAGAAGACTATTAGAGGAATATATAGGATAATTTAATTTTATGTATATTTAGATAAAAAGTCAGTTTCTAAGCAGGGCCTGTGAATTGAAATTATATTTTTAAGCAAATAATTTAAAATATAATAATTATGAATTTTCCAAATAGAAACAAATTATTAAAATGACTCAGAAAAATATCAAAATCAATTTCACAAAGATGTATTTTATTAAAAATAAACAAATAAAATACCAAACATTCAATGGTGAAATGGACAAGAACATATAGTTTATGGAAAAGTAAAAATTTACAGGTTAAAAATATAAAACTTAGCCAGGCCTGATGGTTCATGCCTGTAATCCCAACGCTTTCAGAGGCTGAAGCAGGAGGATTACTTGACTTCAAGATTTGGAGACAGCCTGGGTAATATGATGAAACCCTGTCTCTATGAAAAAAAAAAATTACAAAAATTAGCCTGGCTTTGGTAGTGTGTGTGCCTGTAGTCTTAGCTCCAGAGAAGGCTGAGGTAGGGTGATAATCTGAGCCTGGGAGGTTGAGGCTGCACTGAGCTCTGATCATGTTACTGCCCTGCAGACTGGGTGCCAGAATGAGACCTTGTTTCAAAAATTAAAAAAATAAACATAAAAATTATTCAACTACACACACAATACACCACAAAATAGTCTTTACCAATCACAGCTATAATCATAAGTTTAGTAATATATAATGTCCTAAGTTTATGAGGAAATAGTTATTTAAAAAGTGTTGATAAAATATGTATTCACATTTTAAATGCACCTTAATTTCAATCCCAAAATTCTACTCGATTCTACAGATGGGCTGGTCTGTACAGGAAAAGAAAGACAATTTGAACTGCATGGAAGACAAATAAAAAAATAAATAGAGATAAACTTAATAAACATTATGTAATAGCAAAAGGTAGGTATTTTAAAAAATCCATTAACAGGTACCAATTGAATAATCCAAGATAATTTCATAAAATCAGACAAAATGATACATGGTTATTGTGATTCATTTTGAAATGTAAGATGGATCAATATCAATGATATGAATGATTTACTAGTTACGCAGATCTAAAAAAGAGGAGTGAAAGAGGGTATCTTTTGTAGTACATGTTCCCTCTCTGTAAAAATATAAATTTATAAATAAATGCACATTAGTCTTCACATATGAAGACTATTTCTGGAAGAATATTTAAAAGAAACTGTTAGCAGGGTTAATTTTGGTGAAATGTTACCATAAATCTGAAGTAAAAGAAAAAAGCTTACTACTTGTCTAATCTTTTGAATTGTTTGATGCATCTCTTTTTTAATAAAAGTAAATTGTTGATGGCTTCTTAATGTTTAAGTAACAGCTAAAACATAATAAAGGTTATATGAAAATAAAACACACATAATATATTTTAGTGTCTGAAAAAACACTTGGTAGATACAGCCCTTTGTTCTTCAAAAGAGTATAGTTCCCATAGTTTAAAGGAGGAACATACTAATCAAATCAGGAAAGCCCAAGCCTTTCATATTTGACCTTTTGTATTATTGTATTTACAAGCTCAAGCCAAATTTTATAGCAATTTATTTATAGACAAATATAAGAATTCTGCCTGAATATAAGGATTCTGAATAGCAAATCCTCCTCTTCTATATCCAGAAATAATTTCTTCTGTGATTTCAACTTTCATCCTTTACATTTTTACTTTAGCAAATTTTATGATATGTTGTCAATAGTGTTACCATAACAATTTAAGGTTTACTCTATTTATTTACATATAAATGTCTCTCTTTATATATCACATGTAGGAATTGGAAAAGTAATTTTCTCTCTGAATTTTATATACTGTTCTCTGTGAAAACGACTTGCCCTCTTCACAGCACTGCATTTAGTCTAGGTCTGTTATCATTCACCATGCATAATGTATTTTTTCCCATCTCCATCCTGTTTCCCCCAACTACAAGTGTTAAACTCGTAATTAGTCAATCTTCCTCTTTTTTCTTCAATGGCATGGAGTCTTTACCAAGTTAATTAAAATATCTTAATAAGCAATCCCCTCACTTTTTTGTTTTTGAACTCTGCATAGCTTTATGGCTTTCTTGATATTATTTCCAAAGTCATATTCATCTTTTAAAAAGACTGTAATTATCTTGAGAGCAAAAGCAAGTTCTTCTATTTAATTTACTTCACATGCCATTTAGTAAAATACTTTACCATTAAGTTTTTAACAAAATTTTAAATGCTTTTATTATATAATAAGGTAAGATTTATAACAATGTCATCATTATCAAATTAATTTTTCACACTACTAAAATTATAAGTGATGATACATTCTCACTGGTCAAATATGCATAATAGAGTCCAGAATAATTCTCTAGGTAGCCTTGGACCAACTCAGTTCTCCTCTCTTTTCTTGTTTTTAGTTCTCAAGAAATTGTAGAATGAGCTGGAATACAAAATCCTGAGAAGGGGCCGTACTGGGGAGAAGGACCTGAGATCTATTCTTCTCTCCCTTAGAAGCAGAACATTCTTCAAGGCTTTGGCAGCATGTCTGTTGCCCATGAGGTATGTAACCCTTGGATCTGCCCTTTATGACCCTCAGCTGCAGTGCAAGTGGGGCACTCACAGTCAAGACTCCAGCCACACTAAACTGCTTTCCTCAGACCTGGGAGACAAGCTCACAGTGAATCCTAAGCCTCCGTTGTCCCTTGCTGTCTATTTGTAAGCGATACATCCATTTTGTATAACTCGTATGCATTGCGGTTGTGTCATGCCAGACTTATACAAGTTTGTAATCAGTGCACAGTGCATCAACTTCATATATAAACAATTTAAAATAAATTCATGATAACTCATTCATAATAAAATATCATTTGCTTTTCCATGTATTTTCCTCCATTCCTTTTTCTATAAATATTTTAATGTATTTATGGACACAATCTATATTTACTTGTATGTTTCTTTTACTTTACTAACAACTTCAACATGTATTTTGCTAGATTACTTTAAAAAAGTCATAAAAATAATATTTGCATAATATTTCATTACCCACAGTATCTTACATCTATTAAAGCAAACGTGTGTGTGCATGTTGGGCATTATGTTGGCCTCATTATTTCAATATAAATCTAGAATTTTGTATAAATGTACATTCAATTAAGTTTTTGGGTACATGGGAGTCTATAGACTAGATTTCAAACAGTGATAACAGTTGATCAAAATCTGTTACTTTCAAGACTATGAAATATTGGAACACACAATGGTAAATATGTGTGTTTCAAATATCTCTATTGTAGTTGTTTTTCTTTTCTTTTCTTTTCTTTTTTATTTGAGACGGAGTTTTGCTCTTATTACCCAGGCTGGAGTGCAATGGCGCGATCTCGGCTCACCCCAACCTCCGCCTCCTGGGTTCAGGCAATTCTCCTGCCTCAGCCTCCTGAGTAGTTGGGATTACAGGCACGTGCCACTATGCCCAGCTAATTTTTTGTATTTTTAGTAGAGATGGAGTTTCACCAAATTGACCAGGATGGTCTCGATCTCTTGACCTCGTGATACACCCGCCTCGGCCTCCCAAAGTGCTGGGATTACAGGCTTGAGCCACCGCGCCCGGCCCTTATTGTAGTTGTTTTTCTAACAAATTACTGTTTACTTTCAGCAGTTTGTTGGCACTAAAATGTATTTTGTGTACTGCATGTCTCAAGATTAATCGGTGCCCCTAAAAAGTCAAAAATATGCCAAGGACAACAGGAAAATAGGAAGCATTAATTATAAAGAATGATTTTAAAAAGAGTATCTGTCTTAAAAGTAAAGCCAGATACTGTTTCAATGGGCAGTTAAGATGCTATGTTGGTTTTTTAAAAAAACATTCCCCCAAGATGGCTGATTAAAAACATCAGATACCAGTTCTGTTCAGAAAGAAGAAGCAAAGTTATAGGTGGATTATCATACCCTGAGTGAAATACTGAGAGAAGGGTCCTAGAACTTGCTAGAGAATCCATGAAATCAAGGTGGGTTGCAGAAAAATAAGATAGCATGAGTTTGGCAGAAATTGATCCCTGAAGAACTTGAAGTCCCATGGAAAGTGGAGGTGAGGTGTTCCTTTGTTCCTGTGATGGTTAATATTTAATATTCGGTGTTAACTTGATTGGATTGAAGGATGCCTGGACAGCTGGTAAAGTATTATTTCTGGGTGTGTCTTTGAGGGTGTCGCCAGAGGAGATGACATTTGAGTCAGTAGACTGAAAGAGGAAGATGCACCCTCAATTTGGGTAAGTATCATTCAATTGGCTGCCAATTTGGCTAGAACAAAGCAGACAGAAGAACATAGAATAAGCTAGCTTGCAGAATCTTCTGGCTTTCATCTTTCTCCCACACTGGATGCTTCCTTCCATTCCTCCTATCCTTGAACATGGACTCCAGGTTCGTTGGCTTTTGAACTCTTGGACTTACACTAGTGGTTGCTGGGGGATCTTGAACCTTCAACCACAGATCGAAGGCTGAACTGTAGGCTTCCCTTCTTTAGAGGCTTTCTGGCCTGGACTGAGCAACTACTGGCTGGTTTCTTCCCCAGGTTACAGACGAGCTATCCCGGGACTTCATCTTGTAATCACGTGAGCCAGTGCTCCCTAATAAACTCCCTTTCATATATACATATATCCTATTAGTTCTGTCCCTATGGAGAACCCTGACTAATACAGTTCACCTCACTCCTATGCAGATTGCTGACTGCCAAACTTTCATAGAGAACCTCTGCCTTATAAGCTCAGGCACTCGACTGCTGGCTGAGATGATTTGGGAACTTCTTGAGAGCAGAGCATTGGGTAACCAGCTTTAGCAGATTTGTTTGCTCTCCCCTTAAACCTAAGCTGAGATGATGGGTGCATATTGGTATATATTTTTTGTGGGCCACTATCCTGCTCAGGGCATCTCAGCTCTTTTGTCTCTGCATCACTAGAACTCCACAGATATTTCCTAGAACCATCTACGACTGTGGCAACTCAAGGGACTGGCAGGAACCTGGGTAGCTGTGGGATCTGCACATATCTAGACCTCAGTGCAGGCTTCCCTAGGAGAAAGGGGACAAAGGAAACTAGATTGCATGCTTTCACCTCCCCTAAAACCCCTAAGTCCCTTCTTGCAAGCAGAAGGTGACCTTGACTCTCCCTGTGGAGATGCAGATGCAGTGTTAATCTCTGAAAAGGAGTATTACTCTGACCTAACAGACAAACCACATTGGTGGTCAAAAACAAGAATAGAGATGAGGTCTTCCCTGGTTTCTTCTGTCTGCTGCTGCAGATGCATCTGCAGCTTTTTCCACTGGAGGCTGACTTGGGTGCACTTCAAGACAGCCTTTCCAGGGCTATTTGGGGCAGCTACAGCCCCACTGAAAGGTGCCAGCAAACCTGAGCTTGCATAAAGGGGAGGGTTCTTCTTCCTCTCCCTCTTTGAAGTCAGCATTTCTGAAGTGGGGTATGGAGTGCAGACTAGCCACAGAGCTATCTGTTTAGGGTTGAGGGAAGAAGTACCACTCTGAGATCATTTTGGCAGTTGTCTTGGTATTTGTGTTTTCCATGGACCTCAGTTGCATCAAGGCCTGGAAATAAAGGATAGTCTATCTGAACTGAAAGTCATGAGTTCTGGGACAGGGATCTGATAGAGAAGTGGATAATGTCTCTACCTGCCCAGGACAAAGGGCGATAAAATCTCTTCCTTAACCACCCCCCCAGTCCACTACATCCCTGGCCACCCAAGATTTCAGCACATCCCACCATGTGTGACCTCTGTCACCCATGTCAGTATGTGGGCTTCTACTCATCTGCAGGAAATTTGAAGGCAAGCTGACTCTTCCTCTTTGGTGCAACCAGACAAAAGATTTGTTGAGGAATTCTGTAATTGCAAAACAAAATTGAAAATCAGTTGACAGAAAGGTGTAGTCATAGGGAATGAGATAAGCTTCCTGAGACCTCCACACTTCCAGTCCACAGAAGACAGTGAGCCAGCCCACATACTCAATACTTTGCTACAATAATCCACATTACATAAGGCCACTGCCCTAAAGCTACGGATAAACAAGGAACTCACATAGTGCCTTAGCACACTAAAGTCATCCAGAATTGAAGCCAAATGATCATAAATTCACGATAGACATTACAGTCACACCCTCAAGGGGGGAATTATCTCATCCAAATGAAAGTAAATTAAAAAATAAAAAGTGACAGGATTTCTGGATGATTAGGATCAGTGTAAGAGGTCTAACAGTACAAAACCCAGAATATCTCGACACCCCCAAAGATCACAGTAGCTCTCTAGCAATAAATCCAAACCAAAATGAAAATTCTGAAATGACAGATAAATAAGTCAAAATATGAATTGTAAGAAAGCTCAATGACATTAAAGAGAAAGTTGAAAACCAACAGAAGAAAATCAGAAAAACAACTCAGGATATGAATTAAAAAATTACTGAATAGACGGATATTTTAAAAAGTACAGAACTTCTAGAAACAAAAAATTCATTGAAGGAATCACAAAATATGAAAGCTTTAATAATAGACTAGATAAAGCAAAGAAAGAATTTTAGAGTTGAATACCAGTCCTTAAAATTAACCTAGTTAGGCAAAAATAAAAAACAATTTAAAAAATGAACAAAGACTTCAAGAAATATGGGATTATATAAAGTGACAAGACATAAGAATTATACATTCCGTAGGAAAAAGGAAAAATAAAAACCTTAGAAAATATATTTTATATAACAATTCAGGAAAAGTTCCCTGGGTATGGAGAGAATTAGACATTCATACACCTGAAGATCAAAGACCACTTGGCAGATTCTCTGAAAGACTAATCTATCAAAACATATATCCATCAGTTCATCCAACATCAAAATGAAGAAAAAAAAATCCTAAAAGTATCTGGAGAATAGTGTCTAATCATTTATAAAAGAAATACATCAGGCTAACAGCAGACATGTCAGCACGTATGTTACAAGCCAGAAGAGACTGGCATACTAACTATCTTCAGCCTTCCTAAAAAAAAAATGCCAGCCAATAATTTCATATCCAACCAAACTAAGCTTTATAGATAAAGAAGAAACAAAGTCATTCCCAGAAAAGCAAAAGCTAAAGAAATGTGTCACCACTAGGCTAATTACATGAGAAATGCACAAAGGAGTTTTCAATGTGGAAATTAAAATATAATATTTTCTATTATAAAAGCACATGTTAGTTGGAAGCTCACAAATCTTATAAAGCATGACACAATTGCTGACTACAAAGCAACTAGGTAGCAGCATTATGACAGGAACTAAATTTCAAATACCAATATTAACCTTGAATGTCAATGGCCTAAATGCTTCACTTAAAATACATAGGCAGGCAAATTGGGTTAAGAAAACAAACAAACAAAACGTGTTCCAAACATTTGTTGGCTATAAGATACTTACCTAATGGTTAAATACATCTATAGAATCAAAATAAAGGAGTAGAAGAAGGTACACTATATAATGGAAAACAAAAATGAGCAGGAGTAGCTATACTTATATCAGATAAAAAAGATGTTAAATCAACAATAGTAAAATTTAGACAAAGAAGATTATTATATAATAATAAAGGGTTCAATTCAATAAGAAGATATGACTATCCTCAATATATATGCACCTAGATTTATAAAACAAATACTACTAGACTCAAGGAAAGAGAAACAGTAATACCATAATAGTAGGAAACTTCAACACCACACTGACAGCACTAGACATCATTGAGGCAGAATATCAACAAAGAATCTCTGGATTTAAGCTGGACTCTAGGCCAATGAGACCTAACAGACATGTACTGATATCTATCAAATGCTTGCAGAACACACACTTTTCTCATCTGCACATGGAAC